CACAGATCGTGATTGTTCCAGATATTTCACAAAATATCTCCAAATATAGCTTTTAAAAATCGGCAAAATATTCCACACATGTTATAAAAAGTGAAAAGTAATTTAAAAACTGAAAAAAGACAAAAACAAAGAAAAAATTTGGGGAACGCCCCGAGCGGGATTCGAACCCGCGACAGTAAGACAAAGTTTGGTTTGGTCATATCTTTGCAATAAACACACGCATGAAGAAAATAAAAACATGTATAGATATCTTTGAAGACGCTCTATAAACCCTGTAAATCCGAAAGAAAAATATTGAAAAACAAAAAAGTTGAAAAATTGGACTTTTTGAATTCACTTCCGTTTGCGACCGGAAGTAGAAACGACAAAAAACGAAGGACGTTCGGCACATCTACATTTGATGTTCTTTCATGTCCATAAGTTTCAATGTCATATCTTTAGCCGTTTTTGAGAAAAGTAGTGTACAAAAATCCATTTAAAAAATACAAATTTCCCCAAAAATCGCGAACGGAGAAAAATTTTGAAAAAATGAAAAACACGTCTGGAGATATTAACCTGCTGCATCTTTTCTGTAAAAATCTTTGAAATCCGTACAGTCACAGCTGAGATATCGCCATAAAAATGAAAAAAAGAATAATAATAATAATAATAATAATAGGAAACCGACGGAAAACAATAAGGTCTTCCGAAGGAAGTCGGAAGACCTTAATAAGAAACAATAGAATCACTATAAGGTCTTCCGTGAAGACGGAAGACCTTAACTAGTGCTAATTGTAACGGGAACCGTTACAGATGTTCCCCAAACGCTCCCCAACTCCCTTCTTGTGCCATATTCCCTGTAAGTTTCATTAAAGAAGGCAAAATCTATGCATTTAAGACGTAAACAATGTTTTCCAAAAGTATACCAAGTATTTCAAATTTAAGTAATGCAGGCGTGCGCATGTGATTGCATGAGCGTAATGACGATATCATCCTGTCTACACTATTTTACTCATAGGCACGTGCATGCACGTGCATGATGACCATACCTTCTTGTAGGAGTCCATTATGTATGTCTATGTACTTAATCCCTTCCTGTTTGGTTGAAAAACAAGGGAGTTATAGCCATTTAAAGTTTAAGCCAATCAGATTGCAGCGCACGTGCATGCGCGTGTTTTCATGATAATTATTATATATCTTATTGTAGGACATCTTAAAGTATGCCTATGTTTTAAATTTCAAAGCATTTTGTAAAAGTACAGAAAAGATATTGAGATTTTTGTTTCAGCCAATCAGAGCAAAGCGCACGTGCACGCACATGCATGCATGTAAATGGTGACCATACCATCTTGTAGGAGTCCTTTATGTCTATCTATGTTTTAAATCCCATGCTGTTTGGTTGAAAACCAAGGGAGTTATAGTCATTTAAAGTTTCAGCCAATCAGATTGCAGCGCACGTGCATGCGCGTGATTTCATGAAAATTTTTATATATCATATTGTAGTACATCCTAATACATGTCTATGTTATAAATTTCAAAGCATTTCATCATAAAACAAAAAAGATATTAAGATTTCTGTTTCAGCCAATCAGAGCAAAGTGCACGTGCATGCGCGTGAGTTCATGCAAATTTGACCATGTCATCTTATCTACACAACTTATATATCTTTATATAATGAGTTTCAAAACATTTTATCAAAAAATATAAAAGTTACAGCCATATTAAATATATCAGTCAGTTTACTCATTGCACGCGCCCGCACGTGCATGCGAATGCGCGCAAATTGACCTTCGTTCAGCACATCTACACATTATGCCTACTAACCCTAAAAAGGTTTTAACTTAGTTTGGTGAACAGTTTCTGAGAACACTTCCGGACAAAAAAGTACCGGAGAAGATATAAGAAGAAAAAAGAATAATAATAATAATAATAACTAGAGCAAAGCTCGTTGCAAAGCAACGAGTAGGTCTTCCGTCCTGTTTGACCGGAAGTAGCTTTCATTTTCAACAAAAATGAGAAATAACGCCTAAAAATGGTTTGAATCCTCCAAAACTATGTTCATTAATGCAAAAATAAGCAATTTTTGATACTTCCGGTTTAACCGGAAGTGACGACGAAGGACGGAAAATTAATTTTTCTGCTCCCAGAGACATATGTTACCCAAAAACTTGATAAGAACGGCAAAAATACACGTTTTTTGACTACTTCCGGTTTGGCCGGAAGTGACGATGCCGGACGTATTTTGACGACTCAAATAGATTAAGCTTGTCATTTTGAACAACTTTGCTTCTTTGAAGTATTACAAATTCTCAATACTTTTTGAGATATTAAGTAAAAACTTTTGGCCCCTCTAGATCCCTTATTTTAGGGGTCAGCCCTTTTTTCGAGGTATCATTTGAAAGATCTTATAATTCTTTACAACTTTTGTTCTATATGTTTTAACAAAATATTTACAAGTAAAACGATATAAAAGAAAAAGTGTTAGAAATTTTGAAACGCTCAATATGACTTTTTTCAGACCATACCGAGCGTTAACGTGCAGTACTTCCGGTGAAAGTTAACAACACAATGCAAACCTACATTTGTTGCTCTATCTTCCAGAAAAGGTTTCATCTTCCTGTGATGAGCGGTTTTTAAGAAGAGCGACGGACAAAATGACCCTTAAAAATCACAAAATTGCGAAAATCTTCGAACCGGAAGTGACGTCATCAAAATGAAAAAAAATGCATCAAGTTTTTTTAATGTTCTATCAGACCTGAAAGTTTCATTAAAATATAACCAGCCGTTTTTGAGAAATCGCGTGCACAAAATCGGGGAGAAAAAAAATAATAAGAACTAGAGCAAAGCTCGTTGCAAAGCAACGAGTAGGTCTTCCGTCGTATTTGACCGGAAGTAGCATTAATTTTTTTTACAAAAATGAGAAATAACGCCTAAAAATGGTTTGAATCCTCTAATGCTATGTTAATTAATGCAAAAATAAGCAATTTTTTTGTACTTCCGGTTTGACCGGAAGTGACGACGACGGACGAAAAATCAATTTTTATGCTTCTAGAGACATTTGTTACCAAAAAACTTGTCAAGAACGGCAAAAATACGCGTTTTTCGACTACTTCCGGTTTGGCCGGAAGTGACGACGACAGACTTTTTTGACGACTTCAATAGATTATGCTTGTCATTTTGAACAACTTTGCTTCTTTGATGTATTACAAATTCTCAATACGTTTTGAGATATAAAGAAAAAACTTTCGGCCCCTCTAGGTCCTTAAATTTAGGGGCCAGCCCTTTTTTCGAGATATCATTTGAAAGATCTTGAAATTCTTCACTTCTTTTGTTCTATATGTTTTCATAAAATATTTTCAGATAAAAAGATATCGAAGAAAAAATGTGAGAAATTTTGAAATTTGTGATAGGTCTATTTTCGGGCCATAGCGAGCGCCGACGTGCGTCATTTCCGGTAAATTTGATATACCTGATGCACCTCTCCAAACATAGCTCTACCTAGCCTCAAAGTTTGAAGTTTCTATCTAGAGTCGTTGTTCGGGAAAATTGTGGACAAAATGACCCTTAAAAATCAGAAAATCGTCGATATCTCTAGACCGGAAGTGACGTCATCGAAACGGAAAAAAACGCATAAGGTTCAAGTGATGTTCCATACGTCTTGAAAGTTTCATAAGATTTTGTTGAGCCGTTTTCGAGAAATCGCGTGCACAAAATCGGTAAGAAAAAAAAAATAATAATAAAAGTGAAAAAGAAACCGAAGAAAAACAATAAGGTCTTCCGCTGAAGACGGAAGACCTTAATAAGAAACAATAGAATCACTATAAGGTCTTCCGTGAAAACGGAAGACCTTAATAATAAGAAACCGAGTAAAAACACTCTGTTCCCAAACTCCGTTTGGGGAACATAATTACGCCAAAGTTAGTGGCAAACCTTTGAGCCCCAAATTTTACAACCGCCAAGAAAACTCACTACACGGTGTCAAATGGGGTGATGAGTATCTCAAGATTCTTTCATGTAAGCTATAATATAAGGACTACAAGAATTGTACAGCTTGTCTCACAGACAATAATTCTGTGGTAATCTTATTACCATTATATAACCTTTTTTATGCTGCTTGACCCCTTGAAGTCTAGACACACTGTTAATTACATAAATACATGTCTAATAGAATTCAATCGTGAAGCTTGAGTGCTTGATGCATGACAGAGATTTCAAAAATGTACCTTAATATATATTTGACGTTGTTAAGGAATATTTGTGCCATGATTGCCCTGATCATGTACATGAATAAATCTAATAAATGCTTTTTTCAAATAACAATCAATTTAATACAAATCTTAGATGAAATCTTAACCTCGGACTAAACTTACATTTTTAAGAAGTCTTAAAAAGAAAGATTTTATGTTTATGTAAAGTATTTCAACTACCACCATCATTCAAAGTAACTTGATATCACAATTCTTGTAAAATTATAGGTTGGAAAACAATTGCCTAGAAGAAAAGATAGGAAAAAAAATGTTTTGAAAAGATTGGTTAAATCTCGTCTTTGTCAATTTTCATTGCATCGAAGGAGGTTAGCTGCCATTGCACATTGCAATCATATGATTTATTTTGACCGCAGAACATTAACAGAAAAAATTGAAATACTAGTATGCGGCTACATGAAAGTCAGAATTAGAGTTGAATCATTTGACGATGGATATAATTTACTGCACGGTAGTATAGTATCAATGTTTTCACTATACATGTAGAAGAATGAATTTTCTATTGCATCAAAATAGTTTATTGTTTATTTAAGGCGTTTCTTTATTTTTTTTATTTGTTTTTTTTTTCTAAATACACTACAGTAGATATCTACAATATCAAATATATCTATGCAATGAAAAATAATTAAATGAAAATAGAATGACTTTTTTTTCAAAAGATAGACATGTATTCCATCTTAAAAAATCCAGTGTATGTTTTAACTATCATCTTGAGGCATTAAATCTTTGTAATTGTATATATTCGGCAAATATGCATCACCGGTATTTTATCAACACATAATTTTTTAATGAATAACCTAACAATTGTTCAACTCTTTGCTGTAGATTATATGGATAAAGGAGGCAGGTATTTCTGTTGGTAGTGGATCCGCCTCTGGGAAGGAGCGTTGAAATCTGAGCCATTGCTGTCGAGAAAGAGAGTCAGCTTTTATATTTATTATGCCTTCAATATGTTGACCCTTAAACTGGATATTATGTAAAAGTGCGTGAAGTACTAATAACCTTAATAAATGCATAACCCTGCTTGATTTGGATGTTTTTGAGTTCAGAATGGTGACCAGGGCTTTGTTATCAGTGTGAAGTATAACCCGTTTGCCTGCTAAATCATTACCCCAAATAGTGAATGCCATGACAATAGGGACAAGCTCCAAGAATGTAATGTCCTTAAATATGTTGGACCCTTTCCACTTGCTTGGCCATTTTAGGAATGACCAATGAGTTTTGAAAACTGCCCCACAACCCAAAATATCAGAGCCAGCACTGTCAGTGAATAATTCTAGATCATAATCGCTGGCCCAATCTACCTGAAGGTATGATGTAACCCCATTAAATGATTGTAAAAACATGAGCCATACTTCGATATCTTGCTTCATCTGGGCACTAACTCTACGCTTGTGAAATGGCTTGCTGAGACCACATGAGGCGTCATAAAGTCGTATTACGAATGCTCTCCTAGCCGGGATAGCACGAATGCAAAAATTTAACAAACCTGTTAGTGCCTGAATTTCCCTAAGGGTTACCTTTTTGCGAGATAAAAAATATAATACTTGGAGAAGGAGCTGTTCTAACTTGTCAGAAGGTATCCTGATCGACAAGTCAACAGTGTCAATTTCCAAACCAAGAAACACTAACTTAGTGGTGGGGCCTAAGGTTTTGTCATGTGCCAGTGGCACGCCTAATTCTGCACAAACATGACTAAAAAGCAACATTAACTCCCTACATTCCTGGGTCCCAGCCCTTCCCGCTAGAAGAAAATCATCTAGGTAATGCACCACATTGCTGCAATGACTTTGACTTCTTATCACCCATTCAAGGAAAGTTGAAAATTACTTGAATGTAGCACAGCTTATCGAACATCCAAAAGGGAGACACTTGTCAATAAATATTTTGTCTCACCTAGTAACTCAAAGTCAGATGGGTGGACTGGTAATAAACGAAAAGCATTCTTAATGTCTAAGCGTGATATGAGAGCCCCCGACCAAGAGAAACTTACATTTCTAAGGCTTGATCAAAGGAAATACTCGACTGAACAATACTCATGATCTATAAAATCATTAACGCTTTCGCCAGAAGGGTATGACAAATGGTGAATAAGCCTAAATGTGTGATTCTTTTTTGGGCACCATGCCAACTGGGGATAATCTTAGGTTAAGCAAGGGGGATTTGTCAAAAGGGCCAGCCACTCTTCCCAGGGTTATTTCTTTATTAACTAGCTGAATGGCCTCATAAGTAAGAGACCTAAGAGACTTAAGATTCTCGCAATCATATGCTTGTCGAGGGCCCTTGTAACAGAGCTTAAAACCAAAATGAAAACCTTCGAGTAATTCAGATGCAACTGTGTCAAGAGGATTATTTGTTAAGTATTTTTGCAATGCTGGCAATTTTATTGGGGTGTGTGCCACACTACTGACGTCTAAAAGACTGGGTTGATGAGGGTCTGTTATAGGTACTTGGGGCTGCTCGAGTTCCTGAGGGCAAGGAACGCCATGCTGACTGGGTGTTTGCTGGCCTGAAATTTGATTGAGGGCGAGTTATATCCTTGTGCTTAGTGTGTGGGTGTGGCTGTGAGCAATGTATACACAAGTGACTGTATATCTACATTGTTGTCTTGGACATGCACCTTCAAAATTAAAATCATAACACTTGAGGGTGGGGGCAATGGGTACTGGTCCCTGCTCTGTCGTAGGTTTGTTGTACATAAAGAGCAACCACAACTCTTGGTCGACTACTGCGAATGATAATTCAGGATTACGCTCCTTTTTAAGTCGAAACTGCATGCCATAGTCCCGCCAGCCTAACCCCATAATACGACTGGCACCTAACCGTATTGTGTGCATGTATTTGAGCAAAGATACCGCTGCGTGGGGATGAGCGGATGCATAAATTGTAGAAAAGATAAGGAAGGCATCTGTCAGTAATGGATTTTGCTTTAGGTTTAGTCGTGACTGCAAGTTTCCCGTCTTTTAGAGAAAAATATTTGGTGTCATGATCAGGGTCGGTTTTCGGGGCATTATTAAGCAAAATACCTAAATTAATGTACTCCCCATTAGCAATCTTAATTTTTACATTGTTTGGGACGTTATGTCCCAACTCATTGTCATAGCTGGGCACAGCTGCCTTACATGCACTAGAAATAATTGTATCACCTGATGCTTCATCCAAAAATGGGGAGGATGCTGGCTCTACTGCATTCCTCTGTGATTCCCTCATCAAGGCTGCAACACTTTCAGTAACCTGTCTCAGCTGGTCTGTTGTCAACACCGCTGGTTGGGGAGATGCTGACAGGCTGCTAACTGGTATTTGAGCATGGTCATGTGCCGGAGGATCCAAAAGCAATGAGGGGGCAGCCGATGTTGCAGCAGCAACATTCGCCGATTGAGAACCCCGTCCTCTCCTTTGACCTTAATGCTCCTGATTTAAATCCATTAAAATGGCATGACTATCTTCATACAGAGATGTAAAAATCTCTCCTTCGTTACCTTATATTTAAAGCAAAGCTATAAAAATTGGGAGCAACTAATACATGTAAACCTTGTAGGTACTTTAACTTTGATAATAGAAAAGAAAATATCTTGCATTGTCAGTTGTCCTCATGCACATTTAAAAAATCATTTTTTTTTTATCAGACTGATATTCAATCATGCCAAAAGTGTTGATTTCATACTGAAGATACTTGAACATTACTTTATCAACTGTCCATCATATAATGTTGAGAAAAACTTATTGGTAAAATTTTTTAATTATATTGATGTTGTTTTTGAACTAGACACTCTGCTAAGAGGAAAATGTAAATACTCTTATTAAACAAATTGTGTAAAGTATTTTCATATGTACAAGAATTAATTAAGTCTTCTAAAAGACTAAATTAAGGACACTGTTATGTTATGTTATATTAAATACTCTTTTAAATGCATAATTTTTTTCACCAAATATTTTTTAGTTTTCTTAAGCTGGAAATTTATGTAGATGATATGAAAAACATTTAGTGGGTTATTATCTTTTGTTAAATATGATATTGATAAATAATACTTGATTCTGAATCTTTATTTTTCATTATAATCTTATTGATTATCATATACATGCATTATTACTTAGTATTGTATTTGGACCTATTATACAAGGTGAGGGTGTTCATAGGCCTTTCTTGTTGCCCAATCCTTATTGCATTATTCAATAAAATATGTTTAAAGTATACAGAGATTTCTGAATCTAAAGAAGTGAACACGTATTGTGTTTGAAAACTACTCTCTGTAGACCGTCACCTGACAGGTACATATTACTTCGAGGATAAAATTATCACATCTGGGCCTACAAAATGGCAACAGTCAGGGTCAAACTATCTTTATCTTGATTAACTAATAAGAAACACACAAAGATTTGTAATTAAATAGACAGAGACACAAGGGGCTTAATTTTTCTTGTTAAGTATGTACTAAGTATGTTGTTAAACTTTTCTCTCGCCATTCCATTTGGTCCCTCGCTTGGCTCGGCACCAAATCTCATGGTACTCAGGAAAAGTTTACCAACATATTCCCAAGGAAATGGATGTAAAAAATGCTATCAATCTAAAGTTACTTCATACGGGTGAGAAATAGATCAATTGTCAATTTTAGAAGGTCCTGCTCAGCTGATTTCACACCCGTGTTGCGTACAAATTTTCAAATCCTCTGATATTTTCTAAGTTAGATTAAAACAATTATAGCTCCTTTACCTGTTTACTGTTCCAAACTGACTAGCAGCTCATGTATAATTAGAATAGGTTCTCGCAAGGAACGTGACCAATATAATTAGCTTGTCATTTAGTACCCTCTACGATACAAGCGCTAGCATGGACAAATATAACTCTTCCACAGGAATAAAACCTTGTATTAAATTTACGCTGATTTATTTTCCCGCGATTCAGAACTCGTCGCGAACAATGCGGAAATTGGATGCACGCGGAAAAAAACTGAAATACATGTACGGTATTTCCTAATCAGATTATTTTTAATTTCAATCAGTTGACAACATATAACAAGAAGAGGTGGATTAGGTGAGATAAAGTATTTTTTTTTATTGCCACAGGAAGCTTTAGATTTATTTTTTTATCATTATAACAACATGTATAACAGGAAGATTAAAATATGATGCAGATTTTAACTACTATTTCTTCTGGGATAGAGATTTTTTTAGATGAGGATTACCAGCATTGCATTTTGATCAAACTTTATCAACGGGTAAGACTGAAATATATCAAATTGTTTAACGTATTGCATGCTAGATGTAAATTGGGGCTGCATGCCGTCTTAAAATATTATATATTTAATTGAAGAATAGATTTTAAAATATGTAATTAAAAAAACTTTAAATTGAAGGTTTACTTCACTTAAATGTCAAAATTAAAAAAAAGAAACAATCCATTTAAAGCTTGTTTATCTTTTCGATGCTCAAACACTTTTTACCGACGTGCTCTAAAAAAATTGTACATTTACATTATGTTAATAGATCTTATTCTTTATTTAGAGCGTTTTGTTAATACGCTGTCCATAAAACGTGGTCTAAAATTTGTTTTGGGGGGAATTAATGCTGTAGATGAAGAAGCAGGATAAATAAGTCCTTTTAAGGTTGTTAATCTTTAATGATATATTTATACTCCCCCTTGAAAAGTGGGAAGGTATATAGTAATCGGGATTCTCCGTCCGTCTGTACGTTTGTCCGTCCATCCGTCTGTCTGTTATGCTTTATCTCTATCCGCAACTCCTTTTATACTACTGAGTGAAATTTAATGAAACGTTCACAGAATATTTTTTATATTTGTAATTGTTAATGTTAACGTTTTACCGAGCATGTTCCACTTATTAACCCTGCACACATCACTTATTGCAGATTGATACTTCTTATGAATTGTTTGATTCCTCAAAATTTATTTTTAATTTTCTGAATCAGTTTAATACAGTATGCAGAACAAATGTTTCCCCGTTCTCTTATCGCCCTGTCGCAGATGAGCCAATTTAAAAACGAGACGAATTAAGGAAGACAACATATTATTCTTAACAGAACTGTGACTGGGCGAATTTAAAACGGGACAAAATTGTTAACAAGTAAAAGTGACATGGGATGAAAATAACCATGCTTACAGTATTTTTCATAAAGAAAAAATAGGGATGACACTTTGTATCCGGTTAAAGTATCAGTCACATTATCCAGCGATGGGGTATACGATGAGAAACTGATGCGTTTTTTTTTTAATGAAAATGACGTGGTTGCCGGCCGGACACCACTAGTGACCGGACGGTGTCTGAGGCAGGGATGGGGTCGATTACTTTCAAAAGTAATCGATTAAATTACAATTACTTTGGATTTTAAAGTAATCAATTACATCTGATTACTTTTCCTTCATGTAATCATGATTACTTATGATTACTTTAGATTACATTAAGTTTTTGAATGTTCAAGGACAACAGAATGTTTTTATTCAGTCTTCTCTTTTAAATGTCATTTATATTTTAAAGGTAGGTAAAAGTTTAAATGCATAAGATTTATCAAGTTCTCCTATCTTAAGTATCTTAATTGAAATAAGTAAATATCCGTGTTATTGTTGAGAGAATTAGATAGAAATAAAAAGAATTTATTTATCAAACTGGACATAATTATAATTATGCATAAAGAGATTCGAAAGAGAACTGTTACAGTCAAATAGTTGACCTTCTTGATGAGTGATGAGCCATTCAATTAAGCTGCCAATTACTAGATGTTTTTACAAGAATTAACACATCGACAGGGCAAGCATGGATAGTTTTATAATTGTATAACCCAAGCTTACCTAACACAGGTATACTTAAGTTGTTTTATATAACAATTATTAACATATCATTTTTCTCCTAAAATCAAACAAAGTGTTTTTATATATATGTAAAAACATCTAATAATTTGATAGCTTAAAAAAAAAAAAAACATTCATTCAAAAATATTTTCAAGGAAAACAAAATTAATTGTGTAACTGTAATTGATTGAAACAAAAAAATAGAAGCTTATATCCCTAATTATTAATTTTCTGCCAGTTTAATTATACAATATATCAAGTAATAATGTTTTTCTATTGCTAAGCAAAACAAAGATATTTGGAAATTACTAAATATAGAAAACTGATAAGTTCATAATTTTTTTGAATTGGACCTGATTAAAAGCATTTCTGATATTTAAACTTTTGACTGAATATCATCAAAAATCATTATTTCATGAACATTAATTTAATAATTATAATCATAAAGTAATCAAAAAGTAATCATGATTACAAGACTTTTCAGAGTATTCGATTAAATTACGATTACTTGTAATCAGAAAAATCTGTAATCAGCTTGTTACTCATGATTACTTTTAAAATCCTGTAATCGTAATTTACAGCTGATTAATTACTGATTACGATGACCCCATCCCTGGTCTGAGGTCATTTTGCGAATCGTTTGGGTCAATCGGAAGGAAATGATTCGTTGTTAAAACTCAATTATGTCTCTAACGATGCCTCACATCGCTCCACATCGGCAACCCAACAGTAACGCACCTTTCAAGGAACGGCCGATATATGGCCGAGCATTTTCCAATATCCGTTGAATCTGAGGTCACCAGGGGTTGAGTGGTGGGCAACAGACAACGGCCGATCATCGGTCGAAAGTTTGACCAAACATTGGACTGTAGTCGACCAATGTACGAACGATGAGCGATGTAACATACATCGGCCGATTATCTTGGAACATCGGTTTATGATAAGCAATGCATCGCTGGACCCTTGCAAGTCCGGCCAACCACGCCATTTTTATTAAAAATTGCATTGGTTGCCCCTTCGCTGAATAATGTGACTAATACTTTAAGGACTACTAAACCGATGTGGACCGATGTTTAGGCATCGCTCACACCACTGATTACCATCGATTACCACCGGTCTACGGCCACCGGCAGGGAAATGTGACCTAGGCATTACTCGGTGGTGGGAACGACGGTTATCTGTTTTAAATGATCTGTATTCGATTAGTCAGGAATATGAAATATTAGTAAAATTGAATTCTCTAAAATTCAATTTTAAAAGAAATCTCTACGAAAAGATTTATAATTTAGCCTTTATGGAATCTATTTAAAGGAATACGTTTACTCAGGTTTCAGAAATCAGAAAGGAATTTTATGAAGTATGATATGTTACATCAAAAAATGTTCTAAATGGATATAATTACAAAGTTTTAACTCAATTTCAATTTTAAAATTTCATATTTTATTATTTGAAGAAAATATACAGGAACAAAAGTCGGTGTATGGTGATGAGAGGAAATTCGGCAACCCAACAGTAACGCACCTTTCAAGGAACGGCCATGATGGTAGCATTGTCCAATATCCGTTGAATCTGGGTATGGGGGGGGAGTGGTGGGAAAAGACAATGGCCGATCATCGGTCATGTTTACCAAACATTGGACTGTAGTCGACCAAAGTACGAACGATGAGCGATGTAACATACATCGGCCGATTATCTTGGAACATCGGTTTATGATAAGCAATGCATCGCTGGACCCTTGCAAGTCCGGCCGGCAACCACGCCATTTTTATTAAAAATTGCATTGGTTGCCCCTTTGCTGAATAATGTGACTAATACTTTAAGGACTATAAACCGATGTGGACCGATGTTTAGGCATCGCTCACACCACGGATTACCACCGATTAAAACCAGTCTACGGCCACCGGCAGGGAAATGTGACCTAGGCATAACTCGGTGGTGGGAACGAGGTTATCTGTTTAAAAGATTTGTATTCGATTAGTCAGGAATATAAAATATTTATTTAGTAAAATTGAATTCTCTAAAATTCAATTTTAAAAAGAAATCTCTACGAAAAGATTTATAATTTAGCCTTTATGGAATCTATTTAAGGATAGTAATACTTTAAGGACTACTAAACCGATGTGGATCGATGTTTAGGCATCGCTAACACCACTGATTACCATCGATTACCACCGGTCTACGGCCACCGGCAGGGAAATGTGACCTAGGCATAACTCGGTGGTGGGAACGACGGTTATCTGTTTAAAAGATCGTATTTCGATTAGTCGGAAATATAAAATATTAGTAAAATTGAATTCTCTAAAATTCAATTTTAAGAGAAATCTCTACGAAAAGATTTATAATTTAGCCTTTATGGAATCTATTTAAGGAATATGTTTACTCAGGTTTCAGAAATCAGAAAGGATATTTTATAAGTATGATATGTTACATCAAAAAATGTTCTAAATGGATATAATTACAAAGTTTTAACTCAGTTTCAATTTTAAAATTTCATATTTTATTATTTGAAGAAAATATACAGGAACAAAAGTCGTGTATGGTGATGCAGAGGAAATTCGGACTAAATTTTTAAATTTTCATTTTTATCAAAATCCTTTATTTTCTGCAATATAAATCACAATGTAATGGTTACAAGTTTTTTTAAACATCATTTTGCAAATTTTATATTTCTTAAAGCTCATAAATTAATGAAGATAATAGAATGCTATTAAATAAAGAAATTCAAAAATATGAACAAAAACCATTCCAGGCAACATATCTCAATAATTTGATCATTGACCCCATATAATGTAAATACCACGAGAATTAGGTAAAAAAGGAAAATTTGGGGTATAAATAATTTAGAGTTCTTTTCAGTCAGATTTGTAAAAATTCGATTAAAAATGGGGAAAAATAAAAATTTTTACAGAGGAA